GAGGGTGAGGTGAAATGTCAAGAAGCCGTGTGTAAATCTTCCAGTAATCAGCCATGTCCAAGAGGAGCTGGGGGAAAGGGACAGATCTCTGGGAATATTGAAAGATTATCAAAGTTAGAGTTTTGCTAATTAAATTTGAAGATCTCTTTGTACAGAGATATCACTCTCATATATAATGAGTGGATGTGGAGTCTAAAAGAAGGTAYCAGAAATGAAAATCCCTGCCATTATAAAAACACACACCAAGCCAAGTCAGCCTACTGGATTTTCTATCAAGCTGCTCAGGTTAAAACCCTCTAAGAGTTTGGGTGGAGTGTACAGACTTGTACAGGTGTGTATACGATGAGCATACAGAGGATCCCATCCCCAAGGCTGGGGAGCACTGGCCTCAGAATTGTTGGCCCTGCATAAAGCAGARCATTAATACTTATTCCTCTGACCCCAGATGGTCACTAGCCCTCACCACAAATGCTAGCAGAAGGTGTCAGTTTGGCCAAATTATATAAACAACCTTCTTCTTAAATTTTGTGAATTTATTGCTCCTTCTCTGGAAGTATTAAATGTTTCTCTAAAAAAATACTCTTGTTTTTTAAAAAGCCAGTTTTTGCTAATTTTTAAAACAATTATGTAGCTGGGTTGATTTATGTTTCTTATTAGAGTAATAATCCATCTGTTATGGAGGTGAGTCAATTAATAAAGTTATAAATTTGGGAGAGAAAATGTCTTGACTCTTTCCCCTGGTAAGCATTTATGTGGGTTTGAAAATGCTTKTTTCCATTTGTGCAGAATCATTATTTGGTAGCAAACAAAACAGTGGGAAGGAGTAATACCATTGATGTTAACATCCCATTATTTCTTTTTCTTGGGCAAAACAGTGTAGACCTGTGATATGCAGTGTCAGCAGAGTTCATGTTTTTTCCATGCATCTGTCCTCCCTGCCAAGTACAATAGTAAAGACACTGCGTGGTTTTTTAAACTGATTATTTAATAAGCCAAGTGTTTTTGTGGGGGGTCCATCTTGCAAGACCCGTTTGTATGTTTATAACCTTCTGACACTACAGTGAGATTTCAAATGAAGAGACATGAATGTRCATTACAAGTGTGTGATTGCTTGTATCATTATGAAACAGATGAAAAATTAGTTCACTGCAGTAGTTTTTATCTGAACTGATCAAAACATCTTCCAGTGATTTTGCTAACAATATGTGATTGGAATAATAACTTCACTTGTTGTGCTCCATGCTGCAGCCGAGAGGCATGTAAATACAAGCTGCTTATTTGCAAGAAGCTTCCAGATTTGCAATATGATTGCTATGGAAACCACACAATGAAAAGCTTATAACCATCTGTGTGGTTTGGTAGATTTTGCTGCATAGCTGAGCTGGTTTTGTTTACTGTAATCAAAGCATTGAATAGAATATATTAACTCACAAACTGGGATTATTCAAGGTGTAAACTAGTATTGTGCAATGACAATGTGTCAGAAACTAGAAGACAATAGAATACCAAATTATAATGACATTAAATTAGAGTCTAATGTAAAAAGATGGTTAGGTGACATGCTGGTAGAGGAAACTGCTAAATTTATGCATATTTATCATGGAGATATCACATTCCATTGGAGGAATGCRCTGTTCAAGCCAAACTCTTATCCGTCTTATATTCAAGTAGTCCAATCTTTTTTACTTTCTCCTTTTAAGAAAAAGAAATTGGAAGAAAAAAATTAATAGATTTATGTAAAAAAATCTCAGCAAGTATAGAATTCATTGTTCACTTTTAAAATTTTATGGATGATAGAATCATATATGATTGGGTGGTTATTTTTCTGTTTTTTCTTCAGACTAGAAATTGGATAAGTAGATTATTTTTAACAACTTTCATGGACTAACTGAAAAAAACTTCAACAGATATAGTTGATTCCTTATTACATTGTCCACAAGAATTTTGTCAGTTGTTTTGCTATTAAGGTCTCTAGGTATCAGCATGGTATGGAACACATATGTATATCAGGGGTTCTTAGGATCTACTGCTCTGGAAGAGTTCATCAGTTTGATTAGTGTAGATAAGTCTCATTTTCACATAGTGAGAAGGTGGAAAGGAGTATTTTCTCACTGCAAGGGCAGTGATGATGAGAAGATGTACAGAGGAAAAACTGGAACAGATTATTTTAAAGGTATGCATGACTCATTATACACAGTATCTTAAAAAAACCAGAAGGACTTCTACTGTATTTTTGAATTTATTTTTTCATCTTTTGACTCTATGCCATGTTTCAACACAAACTTCAGCATGTTGCATCAGACTGCAGGTGTAATTCCTGAGGTAATCGAGGCTGCTGTGTTTGAAGTATACTGCCTGCACATAGTTACTGCCTCAGGCATAATACCTGAAAACACGAGTAAGAACCACACGTACTTTTTTACTACCCTAAGCAAGCCTACGAGAACTGCTCCACTATGAGCATGATTGCATTAGCAAGTAGTGTGGGCCTTTTGCAACACAGCTTTGTGCCAAGGACCTGATATTTGTTGTGCATGTTCTGGAGGTTTCCTATGGAGTCACTTCAGCCTGGTACCATGGCCTAATGCCCCTTAGCAGCTGGACCACGTCCAGGGTGCTTCTGGAGTGCCTTTTCCTGTCTAATTGGACCTGAAACTTTGTCCTCTCTGTGACAACCCTGTAGTGTAAAGCGAATTGGGATTAGTAGAGATGGTTGAGATCCAAAGCAGGATGCAAATATGGACAGTTTTTGCATGAATCTGGCACTTTTTTGAATTCAAAGAGCTTTGATTCAGACWTTTTGAGATCTTCAGATGTGGATCTGGTGAACTCTTGTTTCTAGGAAATAAATTTTTCAGGGGACTGCATRTATTCTAAACTTTTTTCCATGAAATTACTATGCAATCTACATGTATTCAGCTGTAACTTTTGAAAAAATCTCTTCAGACCTCTGCTGGTGTTTTACTTTAGTTGAAATACCCTCTGCTGGAGTCAGTCCTCATTTTGAGCTAGYCTGATGACCATGAAAAATGATAGAGTTAAAATCCGTAGGACATTCAGCACAAMGACTGATTTAGGTCCAGACAATCAGTAACATGTAATATCAGCACCTATTTAATCAAAGAAGTATATGATACAGTGTGTGTTGGATGAAGGTGGGTTCTGGGAAAAGGGAGAAATTCTAGAAAATGTGACTGATACTGGGATACTACTCCCTGTGAGGGGTGTAACTGTGGTAGAGAACCCACAGAATTGCAGTGCCTCCTAGTGCTCTGAACAGCATTTAGGGATGTGATTTTGCCATTTATGCTCCARTTGTGAGTTCTTAAAATAAGCAAATGAGCGTTCTTGGAAATATGTGACAACTGTTAATGCCAAGTAGGGGAGTACATTTGAACATCTGAATTCAGTACATAGTTCAGTGTTTTGTGTTTATTGCAGCTTCAGATTTCTCCTGTTCTATTCTTGGAGTTGTTTTTTTTCTGTTCTTTCCCCCCCTATGGCTAAAAAATAGTTTATATTCATCATGACCAGATTTTTGACTACTCAAGATTCAGAGAACAAAAAATCTTGCTGGCTTAATAGGGTATCATTTCAAAGCTTTTTGTAGAGTGAATCTTCTGATGTAATTGTAATGTTTGTAGGACTGTGTGTAGAGGTTAGCAGCAATTATGCATACTCATTTCAACAGGTCTACTCTTGTGCTTTAAACATCTGCTTTAATGTTTGCAGGAACAGTCTTGTGGATAGATTAAATTTTTACAAGGCTAAAATTCCTTTGAACTGTTGATATAAAATTCACTCTTTGTCAAAATAAACAGGCAATTACATAGAAGTTGCATAATGAGGAACATTTTAAAAGTTGTGAGTTCTTTATCTGTTGTCTATCATTAATAAAATACCAAAATTAGTTGCTGAAATATGTATCTTAAAAAGAAACTTGACTATCTGTATAAGATGTGATGAGTAGCAAAGCCAGATAGTTTAAATGTATTAAAATTCCAATTCTTGTTTGAGAAGTGGGTTTATATATATACTATTTCCTCATTCAGTACAGCAGCCTTGTCAGTTTTGATATACTGTAAATGCCAAGATAAATTTGTTTCTACTTCCTTATGAACTTGAAGACAGAATACAGCTAAAAGCCTCATAGTTTGTTCCCTTTTTTTACCTCATCAACAGAATTGTTGACTGTGGAATGTGAGGAGTGGATCTGGTGTCCCTGTGCTGAGTGGAGTGTGGATTTGCAAGTGAAGGTCTGGCCATGACAGGGTTGCACGTCTGTGCCGGACGGGGAGTGTGGAGCACATCTTTTGAAATTGCCTGTGGGGATTTCAGAGTGTTCCAAGCCTGCTAGCCAGAAAACATGCTTTGGAGCTGATCACTGCCAAGTTTTCTCTTTCTTGTCTCCTAAACTTGCACCAAGTCATTTGATAGAGTCTGGCTTGCTTAAAACTGTGCTTAGGCACAGGGCAGGAGCAGTGAAGGGCATGGCATCTGCAGTGGCTGTGTTTCCGTCACGCAGGTGTTGAGTTGCTGTCTCTGTAGGACAGTGTTAAACATAAGATGTCCTCTGCTTTTGTTGCATACTGCTCTCTACAGCTCAGTGGGCTGGGAATGGTTTTTCAAACCTTGGTTTCCTTTTCTTTATCCTTTTCTGGCAAGAAATGTACATAGCAGAAGAGGACCCTCATTCTAACTATCTCATAATGATTGAAAATCAGCAGAACTGCAGATCTATATGACTGCATTCAGACCAGAATGAAAAGGGAAACAGATGTTCACAACTGAGTTTTTGAAAGAAAGCTCTTGGAGTGTTTGGATAGGTGGGGGAAACCACAGAAATAACAATGTTTCAACTTTTGTGTAAGTGCAAAATAGTAAACAAGGCTTACAATCTGGAAACATAGAGTGTGTCTTTCAGACTGATGTGGGCTGTAATTCCTGTCAGCTGAGGTGTCCTTTCAGAATTTCATTTGCAGGTTTTTTTATTTTTGCAGAAGAACGTCTTTSTTCAAATTCTGAAGTGCCAAGCGAAGAGAGCCAGGAGCAAGTTACCACTGTTTCAGGTAATTAAAACCTTTCCTCTTTATTTTGTACATGCACTTTCTTTTTACATTTATTTTCTTGTCTCTTCCATTTGCTCTTTTAAAATAATGTTTTTATAGCTCTGTAAGGCTGTCTTTTTTACCTGGGTATGTGATGGCTGCAAAACTGCTTAAGCACCACTTAGGATGCATGAAAACCACTTGAGAAGGATTTATAAAGTAAGCCAATTTATACAAGGTATTCCTTCCTGAATTACTTTGTAATGACTCAATTAGCTTTCATTTCTGCACAAAGGAGATTTAGTTGCATAAATTAGCTTATCATCATTGAGGAAGTGTCACTGCTAAAGGACAGTTTATAGATACAACATGCAGTTGCTGTCAAACCTATAAGAATGTAATATAGACATCTGTGTATACTTTGTGCTTGAGCAGAACAGACTTCTGCCATTCAGAGACTAACAGGGGACAACAAGTTGCCCAAGGGACTGGCAATGTAGACGTCTCTGAAAAGGTCAACTTGACACAGGCTCTGACAATCGACCCAAAGCTCTGTCTTCTTTGATAAAAATCAGATAAACTTAAGACCACTAATTGATCTGCAGCCTGTTTAAATGTTGGCCATGCATATCTTCATTGCATATGATTACCAGAGRAAGCAAATGAATCGGGTAAGAAATGCCAGAGTCCAGTGACAGCAGCATAAAAATTGGAAAAGGACACAAATGCCCAGAAAAGCTGTGAAGGATATTCTCTCAGCTTTAGCTTGGCAAACTGCCCTTGTGCTAATTATCTCTTGGACTGGAAAAATAACTGCATACACCATGTAAAGTCACATTGCCAGACAACTTTTCTTGATAGAAAGGTATTTCCAGTTATGCTTCAAAACAATATATTTTTGTGCTTCAAGGGCACAGACCTTTAGATAAACTGTTGGTGATTTGACAGAGCAAGTAGAGAAGACTCACTTCTTATCAGACCTTACACCTTTCTGAGATCTGCTGCATTGTAACTGTGACCTGCACTGACATGCAATCTGACTCTCCTTCCCCCATGGTACATAATACACATAATTCTTTCAGGGCTGTCAAGGAAGGGGTGGGCAAGAAGAGTTCCTTTAGGAAGTAGCTCTGCAGTGCTCTTCCTGTTGCAACATGTGGAGAGGAAACAGAGGCCTGATTTCCTGACCCATACAGGAAAGCAGGAACAGGTTGCTGTGAGGAGTTTTGGGTTGCTTTTCTTGGAAAGGAAACAAGAGGCAAGCCATCAGATGCTGTTAGCATTGTGCTGTGCTAAAAACATGTGTAAAACAACATGAGTCATTACAGCCTTAATATTTAGTACTCATTTAGACATTACTGTAATTATAAGAGTGTGTTGTCATAATGGAGCGTGGGGTCAATCCAATTATAAAGTTGCCAGCAGCATTGTTTTTTTTTTCACTAATGTACCTTTCTGAAGTTCTAATTGGTCATACTTTTAAGAAATCAAAACATTAGTACCTGCATTTTTGAAAAAAAAAAATTAATTGCTATGAGAACAGCCTTATCAGTCTTATTACTATTTGTGTAATGTCATTGAAAATACCATAGCAGTTCCTCCCAGATGTCAGGTYCATTTCAAGCAATCGTTTTCATGATCTGATCTTATATAGTTCACTATTTAACACTGGAAATTTGTTTGACTTTTAAGGCTGAGATGGCATGAATATTTCTGATAGGCATCACATCATAAATACCTGACATGAATTGAGGATATTTTATGATTTTCTACACAAACAGTGCATRCATTCTTAAGTTTAATTTATTGCCTAGCTTTACTAAACCTGAACTCACAGAAAATATTCTGCAAATTGYCTGTGAGCTGAACCTGACTAAGTGCAAAAAAAAATTTATTTTTTCCCCTACTCTTTCCTTGCCCTAATGTATTTCTACTTCAATAAACTTTCAGACTTGAGTTCTTTTTATTCTGTTCTTGGTGCTGACTCTTGCTGCTGGATAGCTTTACATTAATTGCTAGTGACCTAATTATTTAAAAATACGTGAGCATTGAAGAGTTTCATTTATATAATGTGGCTTTCAGGGTCTTTTTTTGTTATGACTATCTACCCACTATCATTTCCACAATCACTATTTCAATAAGTGTCATGTTTTCTGTTTTACCAGTGTGAATATGTTGGTTTTAGGATAACTAAGGAACAGTAGGAGAAGGAAAGTGAGAAAGATTAAATTGAACATCTTTGGGTAGATTAGAGTTTGAATCCAAATAAATGCACTGCAGTTGTTTTGCCCTTATTTCATAACTTTTCTGTCCTGTGGGAAAAAGGGCAAGTAAGTAACAGGCATTTTTTGAAGTTTAGGATGTCATCAGAATTAACAAATAACTGCGTTCTTGGACAGGGCTTGTCTTGTTTGGTGACTGAAATTCAACACCAAGAATCTAGATAACTGCTGTAAGACATTCATTCTGGTAGCATTAATTTTGAAGTTCACCTATGTGTCCATCTCTAAGCCTTCACTCTGGTGAATGCTGAGCACATCATTACCAAAAGGGGCTRCAGTTGGTCTTTTTCAAATATTGTTAGGTAATCTTCAAATCTGACACTACTAACTTTTGAAAAATCTTACCAAGAGTTGAGGAACAGGAATGGCAAGCTGTTTTATATACTGGGCAGTGGGCCACAGTTGTGAAAGGAGAACATACWCATATATTCCTTCATTCTACAAGGAATGTGCAAGCAAATAATAGAACTACTGGCTCTAAACCACTACTGTAGTAGGGTTTGATAACTTAMATTTAACAGTGTTAAAATGGATGACTGAGGGAAATCAGGCACAATCATATTTATCTTAATGTTTTATGTAGAGCATTTTCATATTTAGGTTGTAATTGATACTTTTGTTTTGGTCAGTTTAGTGTTCTTTCAGCTTCGTGCACAGAAATGGGAAGTGCAAAAATTGTTGCAACAGTAGGGGGCAGAAATTAAACAACCTGCAGTTAGATTGTATTAGTCTGCGGTGGGACAGCACACTTAAATCCCCCTAAAACATGTACTATTAATCTGTTTTTCAAGTTGTGGGTTTTTTCCTTTTTTTTCTTCTGTCTGTTGTGGTTGTTAGAATATGGTTATAATTTTTCCCCCTTGAGTAATCCATGGCATTCCTAAGTTTTTTACTGTTTTATATTTGAGGTGCATGCTTGAGTGATATATTTATCAACTTTTTTTTTTCTTTCTGAACTGTTCACCTTTCTTTCTTCAAGCATGTATTGTCAGATGCAAGTATTCTTCAGTGAAATAAGMAGTCCAAGACTACTGTCCGAGAGTCTGGCAGACATTGTCTTTTGATCTGTCAAATTAACTCTGAAGTATTTTCATCAGTAAATTGGACAAAAATAKCCATTGTTCCTATTACTATTAGTGGAAAAGCAGAGATAGCAGAAGTAAACCATGAGGAATTCTTTTTGGAAACAGTGTTGGGAACTGTTGCATAGTAGTTCATTCAGGTAGCTGTCCTGGAATGAAAGAACTATTTTCTGGAGAAAAATAACTATCCAAAACATTATTCGTCCATTTATGTGGATTGGTAATCTTAAAAGCAGTGGTTAGGTAGAACCAAATTGCTTTCTGCCCTCAGCTACACACTTCAAGATTTTTTAATCATGTCTTATTTATATTTGTGACCAAATGACCATAACTTCAAAATGCAACAGACTTCAGTTTAGCAATTATGTCATCATAGTATTTTTAAGGCACGTGACRCTTCATAGTGTTTGAGAATAGTGTGTAATTGTAACAGAGTAATGCCAGCAAATCARTACCTTTTGAATTTCAACTGTAATAGGCACATAAGTTTGTGATGSTAAAATCYGTCTGTTTYCAGGTATTACRTGTGTTTAAGAAGCTTCACATTATYTCATTACCATATAAATACCAAATTCCTTTACTCAGACCTTCTGGTTTTGTTTTATACCAGAGGCAATAAAAGGAAATTTGTCGAGGTCTTTGCAAACTGAAAAGGACCAAAGTAAGAATGAGTGGGCTTGTGTTTTGTAGAGATTTTTGCAGCCTTTTTTTTTTCCATTCTATGCCTGTGTTTGTAAGCACTATGAATCATTTTATGAAGCTTTTWCACTTTAGATGTATAAAGTCTGAAGTTACATTTACACTTATCTTTTATGAACGTGTAGTTGCTCTTGCAGAACTTGGAGAAACTTGTTTTGGTGTCAAGAAAGGGGATTTCAAATTTGAAATYAACACTGCTTGGAAGACCAGCATAGTTGTTCACAAACTTATACTGCCGCTTTTTTGCCCCATTTTTTGTTTCTCTGCTCCTGGTATATTGGTACTTTTTTTTTCCTGAAAAATGTGGCTTTCTGATTTAAACAACCCTGTCTTATGTTGAATTCACAAATGGTGGCACAGAGCCATGRTTAGTCTTTGGTCAATAACTTCACTGTTGCAATAAGCTTCTTTTAAAATGCATCTTYTCCAGTGTTGGCACATTATTAGTTGAGTTGCTCTCCACTTTAAGACTTAACTAAATACTCATGATGAGCATATAAGGAGAGACATATCTCAYCCACTGTTGGGTCTCTTCTGTTGAACTCACTTTAGTGATTGTTAACAGGAGTTATTTCAGGTACRTAAAGGTAAGAGCAGAGCTCAAAGTGGCAAAGGTTACTGTGAAARGTCATAATTTCTTTCAGTGATTTTCTGAAGAAGTAAAAATTCTGATTAATGTATTTTAAACAAGATCAATAACCCAGATGCTGAAAGACGGGATATACCAGAATAGCTCTTTTATTTTTTTTTCTCATGTGGACTTAGTTATGTTTTTGACACAGAGGTGGGAAGTGTGATCTGTACAGTAAGAAATGACCAAGGAAAGATTCTGATTTAATATTTATCTCAAATTAATTTTTTGCAAACCTGTGTTACTGTTTTTAATGGTCTAATGATAAATCGGTGAATAATGAGGTGAAAAACAGGAAGGGCCAAAATTTGGAGATGCAGCATTTCAAACTGATTATGCTTTAATGTTGGAATTATTATGTCTATGCATTTTTAAATTACCAGATCTTTTATTTTTGAATGATTGTGAGCTTTCATATGGGTATCAATTATTGCTTTTGGGGTGAGGACAGAAGAATTTGGGCTCTGGCAGCCGGAACGCCCCCTAGTGCTACACAGCGAGTCATAGCTCCTAATCACCAATAATGGAAAATTAAAGGGTGGATAACTGGCATAACAGCTTGAATTCAAGCTTGTGAATATTTAGCCTTATGACAGTATTGCCACCCAAACAAGAGAGAAGAGAACACAGACTGTAGTGGAGAAAAGGAAAACAAGCTCTTCTTGYTCATGCAGAGAATATTAAAATTCAAATCTAAGTATTTGCCAAAATAGGGAAGCACAGAAGTTGAATACCGCTAATTTTTTAGAGTGTGAAGCTTTCTGTCTCTTGATACTTGATATTTTAGCAGGATTTTTTTGGTAATAAAATGAACCAATCATGGTTAAATTGTAAACTGTAAATAATGGTGTAGAGTGCTAATGACATGCAAATGTAACTKGTGTATGTTGGAATAACCAGCAAGCCTGCAGTTCAAGGATCATATAACAAAACTAAGATGACAGCCTTGATCCAGCCAGTTCAGTGATATTTATGTTATCAGAATTAGAAGATAGCTTTCCAGTGATGTAAATTATTAGTACATATACATTCTGTCTGGTTAGTGTATACATAATGTAACCGGTCATCTTAGTGGTATTGCTTACATTCTTTTTGCATTAACTCATCACACTCCATTCTCATGGAATTAAAAACAGGAAATAGTTTGCAGTGCAACASAAGCACCCAGTGTATTTAACTGTGTGTGAGCGCTGTGTTTCAATAGATGTACTCTGTATTGTAAATGTATGACAAAGCATTTATTACTGTGTTATTGCCGTATTACAGAGCAAAGAGTGCTAAATAATCAATCAGTTAATGGTCTGTATGGCAGCTTGAACACAGCACATCCATTGTGCTTATGCTGTTAGAAGGATGAGTTTATGACTGTAGTGCAGTTGCACGTTTAGCCAGAGCTTAATGTCCTAAACTGGAGCTGACACAAATATTTTTGAAATGCAGCTTCAGCAACAGTTTCCAAGTTCTCCAATATTTCAGAAGGAAGAATCAAGGATTATCTCAAAGGTTCTCAGAGAAGCTATTTAATTTTGTTGGAACGGGAGAGGGAGGGGGAGTGTTTCACAAAATACTTTAGCTTCCTTTCACTGATTGTTATTAATTATATTCTAGCAATGTTATCAGTTTCAAGTTGAGATACATATATGGCTTGCTATAAATATACTAGTAGAAGAAAACTAGCTACTTTAAGTTGCAGCTGAAAAATGCTTTGAAAACCTGTAGCTACATGTCTCTCAGTGATGCAACTTGCCAGTTTAAGGGCTGAAACATTAAACTTATTTTTCACTTGCTTTCATGGCAGGAAGGAGCTGTTTCTAAAAAGAGGAATAAGAAATGTGTGCTAATAAATTGCTTTGTACTATCTGGAGATTTAACAAGTACCTTCAGTTATCCTCAGTCTTGATTGTTTTATAATTAGATGCTGTTTTCTTTGCAGATGGTGAAAATACCGATTATGCCAATTACTATCAAGGTTTGTGGGACTGCACAGGAGATGAACCTGATGAGTTAACATTTAAACGTGGTGACGTTATCTACATTATCAGCAAGGTATGAGACACTGCTGGAGCTGCATGGTTGTAAAAAGAGAGCCATGGCAGAAGGGAACATTCCCACAGTTCTATAGGGGGAAATTGGCACTCCCTTTCAGATCCTTTGTTTGCAATCAGATATTCACTGCAATTAATTATTTTGTCAAATGAACTATAATCACAATTAAAACATAGCCATGTAACAGGAATTAACTTTAAAGCATGTTTRTTTACTTGCTAAATCTTGGCTACCATTTGTTAACTGACTTAACAGGAGACAATGTGCTTTCTGCTTGTAGAAGTTAACTTTGTAGAATTTTAAGTTATCTTGTATGTTATGTTTTTTGTTTCCTGTTTTATATTCCTGACTCTGCTGATTCTGGCTTTTTTGGGATCTTGCTACATAAGATGGTTTGTTTTCTTGAACTGTACTTTCATCTTTTTATGTATATTGTTATTGTTCTGACAGCTCAGATTCCAAATTTGTTTGCTTTGACAGATTTGGGTATTTTTTACTACTTTTCTGTTTGCAAATCAGATGAGAAATATAATTTCTTCCATCTGAATTAGCAGTTCAGTATGAAGTTTTAGTCTACATTAATATTGGTTAATTTTCAGATTTTTCCTTAACCTTCCAAACAAAAACAAAACCTCTGTTAAAAGGTTATATGTATCTCATTGTCCATCAAAGTCTACTTCTGAAAAATTAATCAAGGGAAATTTCTCTTTTCTCCTTTTATTACAAAAAAAGGCTGAGCTTTTAAAGTTCTCAGTGAAAAAACTAACTTTTAAAATATGTTTAGAAGATATATTTCATTGCTGTTCAGTGTAATTAATACAAAAATATTGTAGGTCACTGAAATACACAAGTAGTCATCTGTYTGTCTTAGTTTCAAACTCTTAAGTTTTGCCACAATTGCTTTAAATCTTCTTTAATACCTTTAACTACATTTCTGGATAATAAATGTAGCACTCTGTTTTAAATAAATTTAAGATCTACAGATAGAAGGATARCTCTATATAAAAATACAGAAGATAYATTACTATTATTAATTTGACCATGTATGTCTTTCATTGTCACTTAAACTAATAAGTGAATTGCATTACTAAAGGCTGAATAACGCTCGTGGATTGGGCAAACTTTCAAGCAGTTATTCAGCACTGAAGAATTGTACTAATTTAAAATAACCACTGCTTCCCCCTCCTGCTCCCCTCAAAATGCCCATGAGTGAATGGATTCTACTCTATGAGTTTGGCCTCTTTGTGGGTTGTGCTTTCTGGATACAGTATGGGAACTATAAAATCTTAATCTTCAGCTTGTAGGTGAAAAAAATGGTTTGCTACTTCTTSCCCAAAAAAGTGAGAAATTTAATTTAAAAAATGGAGCAAAATAGAAAAACAGTAGCTTAAGCTGTCCTCTGTATATCAACTATCCTGTTACCATGTCRTGATTAATCCGTAATCGGTCCTTGAAACAGGCTTGCTGCTGCTCCAGATATATAGAGCCTCTCTCTATGGGAATGATTTCTGCTCCAAAATACAGCCCAGAAAATTCAGCCCTGTTTCACTTGAAGATTGTTACAGCTTTTTCAGAAAAATGAGTGTTGGCCACTACTGTCAGCTTGGGATTTAGGGTCCTTGGAGGGGAAAGTGCCAGAGAATTATCTATCTTAACCTTCCACTTGATTCAGTTTCAAGGTCTAATCATTTATGAGCTCTTTGTCTAGTAMGTGAAAATATAACCAAACGAAAAGTGAGTCTAACCATCCTGAAGTGGGTCAAGACTTTTTTTCCTAAAATATTTCCTAATCCACTACATTAATACTTGTTTTTTGTGGCAGTCGGCAGGAATCYTAGGCAATTTTTTTTACTTTTTCACACCATCTAGTGGTTGAAAATGAGAGATGCAGGTACTGACAGGGGGGCGATGTGTATGCATCCAAAATGGTGTCATAAATTCAGCTTCAGCTGAACCTAGCTGTGGCTTTATTGCCTTTCTATCATATGTCAGCCAGGAACATTACTCTTGAAAATCACATTTTGCTGATAAGGAAGTAAGTACGGGTATAGCAGTGTTACAGTGGGAAGGGTGAAGCATTAAAAAAATATCGAGCATATTTGTGCAACGTGTAATAGTTCTTTGTTTTACAGTGAAATATAAATGGTATAGACTGCTCTGATGAACGTGATAAGATAGATATTCATCTCTACCAGCAATAGTTATGCCAAAGCAGTATATTTTTACCATCTTTTCTCATACCTGTGTAGAAATTAGGGGGAAAACAACTATTTTGTTTCCAATAAATGAGATCATTAGCATAACAGAAGTAATTATGAACCAGTTTAGCAAATTTGGGCATTTCTAGAATTTAAATAAAGCAAGAGGAGCAATATGTTACATGTACGTTTCTAAGTAAATGTCTTTTAGAAAAATGAGCATGGTTTCAGTTTGGCACTGTTTACTTCCTAAAATAGCTAAGTATTATGCAAAGATGAATCCCCAGAGTTTGCTTKAAAATGAGCACCAAAACTCAATGTTACTGCAATGAGCATGAGCTCATGCTCTGACAACAGAAATACCTTTGCCCGACTAGTGCAGTAACTGTAGAAAAGCATGTTTTTCTTGTTTTAAAGGTGTATTCAAAAACTATTTAAGCTATTTTCTAAATATTTATGTAAGCTGTGGCAGTCGTGTAGTCTTTAACAAAAAACCTCCCAAAACCTCACAACTTTTTTCTAGGTTTTCCTACCTAGTTTCCCTGAAAAGTTGTTTTTAATCTGGGCAGAATTAACAGAATTATCACAACAATACCTGTAAACTTTATTGAAAAACGTAGTTAACATTTCAGATATACTCACACTATTACWATTATTTTAATTTATAATACCCTTGAATATTCAAGTGGCTTTTCTCACCTAATGCTATGAGTTATCTCAACTTTCAGAAAACTATACCCTTTTTTCATTATGCAGTAAAAACATATTTTATAGCTGTACTGATAAAGAGACTTGTTAATAGCATTTTTTAGTTAATATTGACTGTTAGAAATGCAATACTTTGGAGTCCTATTTTCTAAAAGGATGATTGCTCTTAACTCCTGCTCATTTATGGGCTTGCCTTTGCTTTGAAGCCCATGTGATAAATGGAAAAACAGACCATAGTATAGCAATCATTTTTATAAATCTTCCATAGCTCTGCTCAAGAAATCAATTTCCAGAAACAAAGATAACTGTGGATGGAGAGAGTTCTACTTTTTTCCTAAGTTTTGTGTGCACAATTTATGCAAGTGCAACACTTGCGGTACATGTTTGTTTGCTTTAGGTGTATTTTTTGTTTTCCATAGCTTCACCAGCCAAATGCAAGTAATAGTGAAAATTTAACTCTATGKTAGTGGGCACCTGCTTAATAGAATTACTGACATTTCTTAACATTGCACTAATATAATATCCTTCTTATTTATATGTGTACTAATAGCAAATAATAYTTCAAAATCAAAAATTATATGTTAAACTGGAATTCTCTTTAATTGTTATTATATTGTTTCATGCCAGTGTTGCTCACTCTGGTATTTATGATTCATGGAAATCTCATCTATGACCAGCTTTTGCTGTAGAATTTTTCATGAGAGTGTTAACTTGGTGCTTAGATCACCCTATCTTCAGTGGTTGTAGGTTTCAAGTGAGGCAGATTTTTGTACTTTAAATAAAATAAATGTTAAAATGCTCACATCTCAACCTGTATTTTTTGCTTAGTAAAAGACAAAGAATCTCCACAGCTCAGGTTACTGCTTATGTAATTAAGTGCAGCTTAACAATGAAGCTGTTTCAGAACCACTGTGAGCATTTTGTACACTACCTGTATAATCTTAATAAAATATATGTATTGAGTATTTTTTTCCAAAAGATATGAAAGGTATAGTAAAATACTGAGTGTTTTATTTTGTCAGGGTGTTTTCTGGCTGATCCTACTGATATCCATAATTTATATTCCATGGCCAYACTGCCTATAGCTCCCCAAATAGGGAGTACCAATAGCAGCAGGTTTGAAGAGTGAAACACTTGGGGCTTGAGGCCGTGGTGCCCATGCCATGCTTTTTCAAAGCTGTTTGATGTCCAAAGTGGTCTAGCCTGGTTTTGTGGAATGAGAACACATTAATGGTTGGAGCATGTTCAAGTGCATCTTCCATTTTAGCTTCATCTGAAATAAGTGTAGTGTGTGTGCTCTGAGACTGATGGCTCTGCGAAGGGAGCCAGTGTGGGAAAGGTGGGAGCTTTGGGAGATTCACTTCAGTGGGATGCTTCTGATCAAAACAAAAATGCAATACTAGGTTGTATAGTACCCATTTCCTGGCTTGTTTATTTTTATTCTTTATGGGTGGGGGTGGGAGCACAATAAGTATATGTCTAAACACAAGATAAGAGTGAAGGCCTTTAAACAGAAGGTTAGTTAGAACTAATGCAAAGCRACTCTAGCTCTGTTGGTTTGCATACTGATAATATGCAAACCTTTACCTATCAGATTGGAAAAAAATTTGGCCTTGTGTCAGCTAAAGGAAAATAACATGGCCTTTCTATTGTTCCAGGGTGTTTTCTGGGGACAGTTTTGGTTCAGAACTSAGTCTGCTTACTATGATTTATATTGGAAATCTTTAATTGCTGTATATTTTCTCTCATGTCATTGTGGGAAATAAAACCTAATAACGCAACCATACAATAAATCTGGTGCTTATATTTTTAAAGATGACCATTTTATTGCTGTCTTAAAACAACTCTACTACCTGTGAAGAAGTCTCATTCAGTTATTTAAGACATTTGTCATTCTCTGCTTTTAGAGAAAATGCTGTTCTGTGCCAAAACTGCTCCCTGGTTGATAGTGTATCATTCAACAATTACACCAAAGGAAGTTCTAAAACTTTTTAGCTAGTGTGAATCTCCTGGATGAATTGAAGATGTTTTAAAATATTATCTTGCCAAAATTGCACCCCAGGATATTCTTTGAAAAACATATCTCTGCTTCTGACACATATTTAGCTTGATAGTAGAGGTTACTTATTTAACCCCAAACAAGGCTATAGACATGTTTTGCTTTTCAATTTTAAAGTTTGCAGGTATTCAGTCCATAAGTTAGGGACCACTCACAGTGACACTAAACGAAGGAAGGMGTGAAATCTTGAATTCACACACTTCAGTTGTKTTTTTTAAAAAAWWMMAMYYCMWTTTTTTTTCTTCAAGGCATTGAAACACAATTATTTTCAGCAACTCTTTTTTGAAACCAAATAAAAAAACCCACACTACAAACATGAAAAAACATACCATATGTATTCAACAATGGAGACTAATTGCACAAGAACTAGATGTTCTGAACTTTTGCTGAAGTCAGTCAAAATTTATATRGTGTAAAGCATCTGGAGAATCTCATTGAGGCAGAGGAACTGTTCTAATGGTAGCAACTGCTTTAGAAATCCTCAAGGATAAAAATTTTCTCTTTTTGWATGTTAAAATACAAAAATTCTCTTCTGTAGAGGACTAAAATCTTGGATTTAAAAGGTAACTGTAGAAAAGAGGTGGTATATTTCTAATATTGTGTTTTCCCCAAGTACAAAAGGTTTTATGATCAGTGTCTTATGAAGTCATGGGTACATAGACATCAGTGCAGTGAAATGGGTGGGATGGGGACAAGGAGAAGCATCTGTTTACAGTGTGTTCACTTGAGAGCATTTAAGGATCCTGTAAACCCTGATGGGATTTTTTTCCCCTCTCAATCATAGCATGCTGTACAGAGAGTGTTTTGCCAGCATGTTAACTGTTAAGTCATAACCTGTTCCTTGCTGCCCTGTGAAATTACTTCACTTTGGTTAATAAATTTCTGCCGKAGAAAAAAAATAATCCACTCTATGACAGTGGAAATGTAGAAGTAGCTTAGAAAGCATTTGGTCATTTGTTAAGGTTGTTGTTTCATATTATTTGGCATAATGTATTCCATTGCCCTGGTGCTTGTCTTCCGGGGGGGTTGTGGTGCCCCCTCCTCCCCCCGGCCCTGCTAACATTGCCTGCTATGGCAAATGTGCTCCCGTCACATGGCAGAGCGTGGCCGCACACTTGCGCATTCTCCTCATTGCAGGGCGGCTGGATCTGGCCCTGCCCCCCTCTCCTATCCCTCTATTTGCCTTGGAGCAATTCATTTTGCAGTTATTGAATTTCTTTGGAGAGTTATTTTCATACAGCGAGCATCACAGCACCTCTGGATCTTGATAGCGTTTCTACATAAGGAGAAAGAAGCTTTGTGTTAGTAATTACCTAACATTGTCAGGAGCTGACTGCAGGCCTCTTTCTAGTGATAACAGAATAACCACATAATGTAGCTTTATAGCACATGATTAATAGAAAATAATTACACATCCTACAAAGGGATGCAATATTTCTTATAAATTGACTACAATGGTTTCCTGTAGATTAAAGGACTCTTCATTATTTTATCAGTCCTTCTGAAGTATAGTCGCTTGCCTATGTTAGCAGTGATATTAAGAGCTGAATGCAGTGAGGGATACCAGATGGTAAACCCAGTGGTACCTGAGATCTGAAGCTGATGTTTGCAAAAGCACAGTGCTTCCCAACTTCTTTYTCCGTATAAAACTCCTAACTGTATCCATGTCCTTCTGCATATTAATCTTYCTTTCCACAAATGTGGACTGTGTACTTTTATTCTGGATATCTTAAGCAGCAGTAATAGACATATGGACCTCACAACAGCAGTGTATTAATGAAATTATATTGCCACAAAGGAGTTTATAATTGATAACATTGATAGAAACAATACATCAATTTGGATTTTATGTGTGACTTGAAGAAAGGACTAGGGGGGCTGGTTATCTGCCTCACTAGTTAGGCACTCTTTCGTGGTACTGAGGATAGGAAGGAGGGGTTAGGAGTTTAAAGAGAAATGTCTGTACTTTAATCAGTTTAAAAGGGAGTGCTATAGAATTATTGTAAAACCAGAAATTARGGTTTTGTGTTCTTGGTAGCCAGGTGTCTGCATTATATTTTTGTTGAGGCTTCYATAGATTGCAGATAGCTTAATTGGGATTCATGTTGCTCTTGAGACCCATGCAAARAATGGTAATGTAAAGTAAAAGCTTCTGTGTTGCAATATTGTCTGTATGGTGTAATGGTTGCAGTKAATCCTTAAATTAGTTTACTAGTCTGTTACATCAACATTCATTTTATATTCTCACTTAGCTTCGTGCCAGAGCAGTAAGTGGTGTATTAGTAAGTAGCAAAACCCAAAAAGKTTTCAAAACAGCAGCATGCTTTTAATTTTAATTTGAGCTATCTGAATTGTTTCTTTAAAAACAATTGTTTCTAAGTCTATGTAGTGTTGCTAAGTGGAACATTTTCAATGGATAATGTAATCCACAGGCTTTTTCTGTGCCATTTGTCATATGCAATTTAATGACCGCTTAACTGAGCCACTTCCCTCATTTCATGTATTGTTTGTTTTTTTGGCTGATGTCTAGCAAAACTTGCTTAATCACTCTTGTCAGTCACTGTGTGAATTCCATGTAGCAGCTTAAAATCTTTTGTTGCTTTCTCTTGGAGAGATTTATTGCTGAGAATTCCAGTAGTATACGTGAGTGCTGCTCCTTTCAGCAATTTCCCACTTCAGTCTTGAAATGCAGTTTGTATATTTAAACAGTGCATTGTGAGATAAAGCATAGATTTTTAAACAGGCTGATCTGGAAGATTATAAACCTCAGTGTCAGGGTATTGTTTCGCCTTTAAGGATTTGGGGTGTAACACGAAGCCTTATGGGAAGGGTTATTAACTTCTGTGGAGAGCAGTGTGCACTGAAGATCAGGGTCAGATACCTCTAGACTTTCAAGACCAAAACCATCCCCAGCAGTCTGCTCTGCAGTGGAGGAGGGAAGAAGATGGAATTATTTTTGCAGCTTTCTTGTTTGCATGTTTGCATCATAAATGCAGGTTTTTCTGCTGTTTTTAAAGTGATTTTCCTTTAAATCACACTTACTGTAGTATTTAACGTGTAGTAGGATACAATCTTTTAAATCACCAATTCACTGTTAAGGGAAGGGAGAAAATGTTTAATTGAAGACTAGTGTTCACCCTTCCACAATTAGAAAACATAAAACTGTGCTTGCGCCTGCATGCAAGCATTGGGGAAAAAAAAAGGCAAAAAGCAAAATAAAAAGCCCACATGAAAGTAGGCCCTCATAGTTTAACACAGAGARAGCTGAGTTCACTAAGCACCTCATAGGACCCCAGAGAACTCTTGACCAGGCAAAATATGCCAGCAGCAAATCATTATAGCTCGGGCTCTAATGAAACTCCATTAACCCTTAAGCTGCTCTTGGCTATTTGTAACTGAAAAACTTTACCTACAGTTCAAAATTGTAACTTCATTGCAGTRGGACCAGTAATTCAAAATCCTAGAGCCTTCTCATCAGAAGAGCAATGTAGCAGGAAGCAGATGTTGCTTGTCACAGATATCTGTGTATTTTGTATTTTGCATGTTTGTTCCAAAGTAACTTCTATCTTACTAATCATTGAGTTGTGAATAGGATCTCTGTTTTAATAATGCTTCATTTGTAACTCATGTGTGTGTGCAATTTCAGCTGTTACAATTTACTGAACGACTGTTAGGGTTGATSTTAAAATATTTATCTCATAGCACAATATACAATAGTTACATAAAATTATTACATTATTTTATTATTTCAATAATTATATACCAAAATACCACAATACTCTTATTTGGAAGATATTATTTCTTTAAACAATTATAATGCATTTTGTTTCATATTTATCTCACTAAGCCTAACCATATTTCAAACAGGAGAACATTAGTCATCTGTCAAGAATATGAGATCTGCTGCAGAATTTTCTTCRAGCCTAAAGCAATAGTAGACTTTGTTCATAGAAAGGTATTATGTATTAGATATATAGTGTTCCCTTCACATTTGAGTCAAGTAGTTCTTAAAATAAGTTAAAGGTAAGTTTCTTAGAGTTTAGTTTGTGATACTGAAAGAAACCCTGTTGATTGTTATATGTCAAYATTGTGCTATTAGATTTTAGTTACAAAGAAAAGGTTTTTGTATTTGTGAYGAATAAAGGATAAGGAGGTCAGCTAGTTTTAGTAGGTATTAGAGAAGCATGGCTATAATTAAGAAATTTTCTTKAGCGTGCCTGGCTTTTTTAAAATTTAGCTTTTGCCTTTGCCTAACTTTGCATGTGAATGCCTATAACAAAAAGACAAAATGTTTTAATTTTCAGTTGAAATGATTATAACTGTATATAAGAGAAAGCATCCATAAGGAGTTGCATACAAAACTCTATTGCRTTTATATCAGACTAAAGGTTAATACTGCGTATTGTTTTCAATTAGGAGTACAATAGATTTGGCTGGTGGGTAGGAGAAATGAAGGGAACCATTGGCTTGGTGCCTAAAGCCTACATAATGGAGATGTATGATATTTGAGAGGCCTGGGTAAGTACATTTTAATCCAATCTTCTGTAATGGCTTATATGTTCCCTTGTTCTCTGTTTCATAAGTATGTCTTTCCTGGAACCTTTGTAGGAGTCCTGTTAACATAAAGATTATGGCAAAATATATTGAAGGTTCAATTAAAGCACTTTTTTTCTGGAATGCTGTATGAAATATTTAACCACAGGGTACAAAAGATAATATATTAAATAACCATGTTCCTTTTCTAGATTAAAAAAAAAAATTGGTGCTGTTTCTATTTTAGTTTTGTTACTTTAGTAGTATGTATGTAGCTGYGTAGAAAACTGTGGAAGGGGATAGATATTTGGACTGAGTTTGATATGCATGTTTGAGGTTTTTTGGGTAATGATGAACTTTCAACTTCTCTCTCCCTAATCAGGAGAAATCTGCACTTGAAATGAAGAGTGGTTTGCAGCTGCCTCTCTGAAAGAAGATTCTGAAGAACATGTTTTGTGGTTTCAGCGAATGTAGTCAGATTGTTGCCTTGTGTACATTAAACATTATAAACTGTAATTGATCATAACTTTACAGAAATGTTCTTCTTAGCCACTTTTTATAGAATTGTAATGCTAGGAAATTAAATAGATGGTAATTAACATATGGGGCACAAAGCCATATAGTGCCTGTTGCTGTTTCCTTTCACATGTTAGCTGTACTCTGTATAGTTGTAGGTTTGTGTTCTCTCAGGGAATTTTGCTGTCTTTTCCTATTCTGCAGATTCAGAAAAATTGAGCTGAGATTTGAGGGTAAACTCATATATGTATTAACCTTTTAATACCTACTGTACATCTTATGCAGTTTCATCAGAAATTTGCRGGAATCTGATGTATGATATTACAATTCTTCAGGGTATTCTGTTAAGTTATGCTTTAGCCAATTATCTTTCTCATATATTTAGTTTTGTATTGTTAATTACTATTCTTTTTTTGGCTCACAATGAAGACTTGATTCTTTTGCTGTAATAATAAATTGTTCTGTGTGGTAATACTGCCCTAATGCCAGAAATTCTGACTGGGACATAGTAGTTCTATGAAAATTTGTGCAAATGTATTAAACTTCACAATTTTTGCTAAGTCAACACAAGCTAAATTGCAGGGAAAAATAYTTTGTCTGTGGTAGTGTGAAATATTTTATCTGTATCTTACATATATTTTTACAGAGTCAAATCTGGAAAGCTTGTTGGTATGTGGAATTCTGATACAAGTTGTGCAATAGAGATCTTCACCCTATATGGATTAGAAACAGCTACCTGCATTCTTGTGTCAAAGCCAGAACTTTGTGGCCAGAAACATTGGTTGAAACATTAAAAAAACGCACCAAAATACTACCACTTGTGGACAAGTGCTTGGGCAAGTCAGAGTTAATAGTTTGCATACTCTTGGAGATGTGTTTTACCATAAGCATGCAAGATAACTTTTTTTGCAGACAGTTGATTTGTGAGCCCCTTAATCCACCAGTGAGGCAGGTCAGTGTGTGAGCTGCTGAGCCTGTGCAGGTCCCTGTGTAGTTCCTTGTGTTATTTATACTTCAGGCAGACTCCAGGAACATTGTGGGTTAAAGGAAATGTTAGTCTGAACTCGGAATTCAGATCCTTTCAGTAAACTAAGATGTTGTGCTCTGTGTTAGCTAATGTATGGTACTTGCTGGTACACTGAATTCTAATAGGTGTCAAACAGGGGACGGAGTTTTGTTGTAATTTTTTTTTTAAGAGATAGTCATTGGAATTGATTCTGTGTGTTATCAGCGAAGCATTAAAATGATAGATTATAGTCTTCAGATCTTTTACTACTTTAATTTATCAAGCGCACTGGTGGATTGTGTACAGAATGTGAAGCGTTAACAGCGGCGCTGCAAACGCTCCTTCTCCCTTGTTAATATGGCAGCGCCATAAATCTGCCCACCGAAACGTTTTTTTTTTTTTTATTAATTACAGAATTCCACATCCCAGCACCACAGCAGCACCTACTTTTTAGGCCATGCCCGTGAGCAGGTGCCGTGGCCGGGGCTGGCTGTGTGCCCGCTGCGGGGTGAGGGTGCGGTGAGCCCGGCCCGGCCCTTGCGCTGCGCGGCCGCGGCGCTGGGTGGCAGCAGATTGGCGTGGGTCGGGCGGAGGCGGASSAGGAGGAGGAGGAGGAGGAGGAGGAGGAGGCGGATCCCGATCCCGACCCCGCTCCCRTCCCTGTCCCCTTCCCCCTCCGTGCTGCCCCGCGCCGTTTCTGCCGTTTTTCCAGGAGAGGGAGTCCTTACCCAAGCGATGAGGGGCAGGGCTGCCCGGCGCGGCCGCTGTTGGGTGGTGACAGCCAGGGAAATTAAGTGGCTTTTGTCTGTRGCTCTCTTTTAGGGCTCCCCCCTATTTACTGATGGGGGAGAGTAAACAAACTGCCTTAAATTCAAAACGTAAAAGATGTCCTGAAACTCACTGGAAATGTCTCAGAATAAACCAGTGATGGATCACGGATGAATGGTTTATTTTAAATCTGTGCAAATACCATAACCTTTTTTGGATAAGAAAATCTCTGTTAATACAACTTAAACAAAACTCAGGTAGAAGATTCTAATCGCCTCATATTCTTTGTTCTCTTAGATTGTGCTTGCTTTTCTGTGAACGGTGAGACAGCAAATTTATAAAAGGTGATTGTAACTCCACATTGTACAACATTTTACTTGATTTTTTGCTCTGTTCTGGGTTTGTGTGGTACTGCCATTAGATCTTATAATAGTGTTCTACTCTGCAAATTTTTAAGGTTCAAATAAAGTTTAATTGTTTGCAAACTGTTATGATGCTAATAATTCAACAGCCTGCTGTGTTACTAATGAAATTACTTTGTTATGATTAATTTGGAAAATAGTGTGTTGATTGTAGTAATTAAGCACAACAAGGTGAAGTAAATGATTCTAATGCCATCTGGCCTCCAGACTGAATGAAGAAATGAAATGGGGCTGTCATTTGAATTTATTCAGAGAAGTAAGGGTAATACAAATGCTTTTTATAGGAGAGGCACCCGGATATAATCATGCCACTCTCTAGTATCTTTTCATGTACTTCTGTATACGGATAACTGGTTCACATATTTTTCCAGCATCTCATTAGGATATGCCTCTTTGTACATACTGCCACTAATTACATMTGCTGATGGCAATGTATGCACYRGTTCTTGTATCAGAAAGATGTATGRATAAGATTTAGAGAAGTGTTATGCCTCAGCTTACCTTTTGCTCCCTTATTAAGGATAAAAACTTTCTGTGACTGGAATTAAGCTGAAAGTGAATGCTAATTAAGATACTATTCTAAATTCAAAGCCAAATGCATAAATTTCTTTCTTTTTTTTTTTTTGGCTCTGCAGTCTGAGTATGATACAGTATTAAAAGGAACGTAAAGAGTAACACTTTAGAACCTGATCCAAAGACTGTTGAAACTGAGAAGCTATTGAATTCACTTGCTTTTGCATCACGATCTCAAACAGTAACTCAAAACCAGGCAATATAATTTCAAAGTGTGTTKTTGCTGAATACTCTTTGTCTTCTTTCTGAAAGAGATGCAATTATTTCCATAAGCTGAACCAAACAAAAGAACAGCGCAGATTTCTCTAAGCCAAATGGTAGAAATCCATTTTTCTATCTCAGGTAAAGCAAAATGAATTTGTGGTGTAAATTAGAATCCTGGGTTGATAAAAGTTCAGTGGGATCTGTAGGAAAGCTGTAAAATATTAAAATGTGGTGAAAGCACCCAGGTAGATGACAGTGGTGTGCTCTTAAGCTGCATGARCCATGTGATGTTTCTTTCATCTCTCACTCAAGTTGATGAAAAATTTATTAGTATGTAACTGTGGGAATAAGCATATGCATGGAAACCTTATAAACAACTTTCCACTTCACATAGCACAAAGTACTGATAAACTCTATAAGACCTTCACTTACCAGGGTTTCTCTGAAGCTGACATTTCTCAGACAGGTGTCTGCTTAATTCCAGTTTTGTTTAGGAAAGCTGACACTGAGCTCAGCAAAGAGTGCTCTGTCAAATCTGCATCTCTGTCTTAGAGTTCATTTCCTGCCCAGCATCCATTGTCTTACTGTGAGGGACCAGCACCAACCAACTTCACACTGTGAACTTAAAATTGTGGATCCAAGCTGGATGTAAGCACGCCATTTTGCCCTTCTGATGCAATGAAGTCGATGGGATGAAACTGTGACTTGACTCATAATCCTACAGGAAGAAGTAAGGGGGGCTGGGATGATGGCAGGATGTRCAAGTCAAAGGGATACAGCTTTTCTTAGTCAACCGTGTTGTGCCAAGGCATATATATGTATATTCTCCCTTTAAATTGTAAAGCAGATCAAGTAGTGATAACCCATAAATTKTTGTGTCATAGCCTTTTATGGATTTGTTTAGGARTGATTTTGTAATGGGATCTGRACAATTCTGGTTTTGCTGTCTGGARTTGTCATTAGTCCAAAATATCACACAGAGAAATTCATAGGGAGCTAGATTCAAAGCAAAGTAGAGGAAAAACCTCTGCACCTGAAAGCTATTTTAATATAAGTCAAATTTAAAACTGAAAATGTCAGCTTCTTCCCAGCTTTTGGGAGGAACAAATCTTTTAGTTAACAGGCAAAGCTTAAAAATCCAAGGTGTCATCTTGTAGTAATGTGTCAGAGAATAAAGTAAAACAGTGCAGGCAGTCTGAGAAGAAGAGCTGCTGGTAGATGAAGAGACAGATAGTTTCAAATGCCACTAAAAAYCAATCTATCTCTATTAATTTTCTGCTCTAGCAAATTGATATGTTGGAGCTTTTATCCTAAAGTATCYTCACTGTCTCACAACCCATGGAGCAAACTTCCTTTCAACTTCTATTGTAAAGCAAGTGCTACTCCATAAAGAGATTTGATAGCTAATGAGCATTTTACAGTAAGACTTTAAAGTTTATGCTGTAAGATGAAAAAAAAATCACATTCAGCTACAGTGGGAGCATTTATGTTGGCAAAAGGGAATTACYAGTTTGGCCACTTCCAATCTGCCATAATCGTTTGCATATTTGTAAATAGTGCTGTGGGATTTTTAATGGCCACAGGCTAAGGGCTTTAGTTTTACCCCTCACACAAAAGACAAGTTTGTAGCACCCCAGAACTGCCTGGGTTGGAGGAAAAAGTATTTCAGGGGATCATTATCAATCTTTCAAATGGCAGCAGCATGGATGTGTGCCTTGGCAGCCTCCCACCCAAGAGCTGAYGTGGCCCAATGCTGCTTTTTAATAGTCAAATCTAATAGGGTCAGCATGAGAAGAGCAGAGCACAGACAGTCTGACAGGCGTGGGCAACTCAGTTTATTCATTGGTGGTCTTGTGCCTCTCAGACTTAGTTCATTGTGGAAGGGAAAAGATGAAATCTGTAAACAGACACATGGCATCAGGAAAGCATCTTCCTTTTCTGTTGTTCTCTTTCGAGAGGACTGCCATTCTTATATTTAAATTAAAAGCAGTCAGGCATGAATGCACATGTGTCTGTAGGAAGGAGTGGGTTTTATTATATCGTCACTTGCAATCTTGTTTCGAGGCTGGTTCCTTCTTTCTGGTGTTTATGTTGACATGCTCATAATGGCCACACTACCTTTACTACAGAAAAAAAAAAGTATTTCCAGCTTAAATGAAATTATTTCCAGTTGCTGAAAGGCTCTATTCTATTAACTCATCCTCTGTCATTTCCCACCATTTTAGTGCATTGTGTCAGCAGTATCTTATCAAAATATGTGTCTTATCAAAATCTGTGTCTTTTTTGACAGTAGTTTTTGTTTCCATGTATACTCCAATAAAATACTCCAAAATTATGTTTTGAAACATCTTTTCCTYTTATTTTCTAGCAGATCTTGGCCTTAGTTTTAGGGTATTAGACCTCAGTGAAAAGGGGAGGAGTGAGTAATCTATACATCTAGAGTTCCTTACTTGACTAAAAAATARGCAATCCGCATAATCAATTGTGAGAACTGTTTTGGAAGGTCTCTAACCAGCTTCATTTCCACTCATTTTTTTCTGCTTCTGAGACTCTCACAGTGTACTTAACCACTTCTAGACTGAGATTACCTATTCAGCTACTTGCTGTCCTATGAAGTTACCCAAGGTCACTTGTAGGTCATGACTGACTTAAGACCAGAATTGTCTCCCTCTAATATATCTGATACTGCTTGAAATGCAGAGCTTGGGCAACAAACATCTTCTCTTCTGGGCTTCGTAAATTTTCAGGTGAGTGGAARTTCAAAATGCAGAGGCATCATCCAGAATAATCTCTCTCACTAAGACATGTTTATGATTTGTGTTTCTGTGAATACTCTGTCTCCACGTTAYTCCTGCATTCAATTACTTAACAAAAATTATGAAGCAGAGAACAGGTACCATGAGGCGTCTTCCTAAAACATCAGATTTTGACARAATTGGGTCAAKTTAATGTTTCAGGTGCAGATTACAYGRATGCCACTTGAGAGTGTGAACCTGAATCCATACCCRTGGTGGTCTCTGTCAGGCTTTGGCAAGCAGAGAAGAACAAAGAGCTACCTGTCTGGCCCTTAGCTGAAAACTGAGCATTACTGATCTATGTCTGATATTATCTTAGGCTCTTCAGCTGCAGTGTTGCTTCTGAGCATCTCTAATAAATTCAATGAGCTAGAAATTTATGCAGGTGTTTGTCCATCAGGTGTGGATCAGGGTTTTGAATTATAGCCTGCTCTGACAGAATGGCATACAAAACCATGATGTGATACGTTGCCATTTGTGGGTCCTCAGACAAACTGATGATTCCAAGAAGCACATGTGGACCACAAAGGGATTTCATGATGCCCATTTCATTAACTGGTAATGATAATATATTTCAGTGGAATTCTATTTTGCACATGCTGGTTGATGTTAAGTAGGCCTTCATGCAAAATGCCCTTTTTCAGATGTCGTACCATCTGAAACGTGGGGAATATGTGTTTGATTAATTCAGTCTAAAACTGACCAGGGTGGCTCATAGGGATCACAGAATGAAGTACCGA